CTCTTTCTCTAGGCAAAATGTAGCTGCATGGATTTTTTTACTTTTTGCTCCTGGTGGCGCAGTGAGTTAAAGCGCTGAGCTGCTGAGCTTGTTGACCGACAGGTCACAGGTTCAATTACGGGGAGTGGCGTGAGTTTCTGCTGTCAGCCCTAGCTTCTGCCAACCTAGCAGTTCGAAAACATGCAAATGTGAGTAGATCAATAGGTACTGCTCCGGCGGGAAGGTAACGGCATTCCATGCAGTCATGCCGGCCACATAACCTTGGATGTGTCTACGGACAACACCGGCTCTTTGGCTTAGAAATGGAGATGAGCACCACACCCTAGGGTCAGACATGACTGGACTTAATGTCAGGGGACAACCTTTACCTTTACCTTCTTCGAAATTAAAATATAGTAAGCTAGTCACCTCCAAGACCTTTTCTATCATGAATGTATTTATTTTACTGTAGAGTGTCACTTATCCAACCTTCGCTCATCCAAAGTTCTGTATTATCCAACGCAGTCTGCCTCCCACCTGGAATAATGTCCAGGATGGGAGAAAGAACGAACCCTTATCTGTTTTAGTGCTAAATTCGTATATATACAGTAATTACTAGATAATATTACCATATACTGAACTGCTTTTTATGTTGTGTTGTAAAACATGATGTTTTGATGCTTCATTTATAAAATCATAACATAATTTGACATTGAATAGACTTTTCCTTAACCTCTCCTTATTATCCAACATTTCACTTATCCAGCGTTCTGCTGGTCTGTTTATGTTGGATAAGTGAGACTCTACCATACTTCAATAAATACTTTTGAACCTAAAGTTTTGACTCTGCAATCCTGTGTCATCCTATGGAGAGAAAGCTTATCCTAGCTCGCCACATGTAATTTCTTCTGATTACGAAGTTTATATCTGGTACTCTGCTATATTTATGGGGGAATCACCCAAACTGTGCCTAACTGCTCAGATTCCCCAACAAGTCTCCTAGAGGAGGCAAGTTAATCTGCATCTGGTTTGTTGTGAGTTTTCCAGGCTATATGGTCATGTTCCAGAAGCATTCTCTCCTGACGTTTCACCCACATCTATGGCAGGCATCCTCAGAGGTTGTGAGGTCTGTTGGAAACTAGGAAAATGAGGTTTATATATCTGTGGAATGTCCAGGGTGGGAGAAAGAGCTCTTGTCTGTTGGAGGTAGGTGTGAAAGTTGCTATTGGCTACCTTGATTGGCATTAGGGCCAGCTAATCACCTCCCAACAAAGAATTCCTCCAGTCAGGAAATAGCCAAGCCTTGAAACTGCAAGTCTTTTAAATGCTAATCAAGGTGATCAGTTGCAGCATTCACACAGCAAAGGAAAACCCTAGGCAGGAAGCAGACAGTCTTTGAAGCTGCAAGGTTATTCAGTGCTAATCAAGGTGGCCAACTGCAATTTTCACACTTGCCTCAAGCAGACAAGAGTTCTTTCTCTCACCCCGGACATTCCACGGATATATAAACCCCACTTCCCTAGTTTCCAACAGATCTCACAACCTCTGATGATGCCTGCCATAGATGCAGGCGAAATGTCAGGAGAGAATGCTTCTGGAACATGGCTATACCACCTGGAAAACTCATAACGATCCAGTGATTCCTGCCATGAAAGCCTTTGACAATACATTGATCTGCATCTGTTTGTTGCTCCCTCTCTCTACAAATGCAAATCCCTTTTGCCGGAGGCTGCCAACAGCTTGTTGGATTCTGATTCGGCCCTGACTGCAGTTTGTGGCGAGCCTTTGTCCACTCTGCTTGCTCCAAGGTGTGCAGCCCCTCCTGCAAAGAAGGAGGAGGAGCTCAGCAACAGAAGGAATCTAGCTGGAAATCCTGCTTTGCCTAAACAGCTGGGGTTGCCTTTCTACCACTGCTGATGGGACAACTGAGCACTGAAGCCAGAGCAGAGAGAGGAAACTCTTTAGGGATGCGAGGAAGAAGACAACCCACAGGAAATGTTTGTGCTTGAAGCTCCAGTGACTCTCAAACCAAGAGAAGAGGCCTGTTCAGAGCCAAGGCTTTGTGGGGCTTCAAACATGGAGGACATGGCAGGATAGGGCCTTCTTGGTGGCTGCTCCCAGACTTGGAAGTCCCTTTCAAGAGAAGTCAGATTGGAGTTTTCCCTGCCATCTTTTTAAAGACAGGGAAGGCCTTTCCCTTTCAACAGGCCTTTGAGGGTTAGCTGGAGGGGAAAGGCTCTGTCTTTATTGTTTTCCTTTTTATGGTTAACTAGAATCATAGAATCATAGTGAGACCTGGTGGGCCATCCAGTCCAACCCCTTTCTGCCAAGAAGTAGGAAAATCATATTCAAAGCACTCCCAACAGATGGCCATCCAGCCTCTGTTTAAAAGCCTCCAAAGAAGGATTCTCCACCACACTCTGGGGCAGAGAGTTCCATTGCTGAACAGTTCTCCCAGTTAGGAACTTCTTCCTAATGTTCAGGTGGAATCTCTTTTCCTGTAGTTTGAAGCCATTGTTCCACATCCTAGTCCCTAGGACAGCAGAAAACAAGCCTGCTTCCTCCTCCCTATGACTTCCCCTCACATTTTATACATGGCCCTCATCATGTCTCCTCTCAGCCTTCTTTTCTGCAAGCTAAACATGCCCAGATCTTTAAGCCGCTCCTCATAGAGCTTGTTCTCTAGAACCTTGATCATTTTAGTCTCCCTCCTCTGGACACATTTCAGTTTGTCAACGTCTCCCTTCAGTTGAAGTGCCCAGAACTGGAAACAGTGTGATTTCAAGAGTGGTGTGACCAAGGCAGAATAGAGGGGTAGCATTATTTTTGTCGTGTCAGGAACAACTTGAGAAACTGCAAGTTGCTTCTGGTGTGAGAGTTCTCTTCATTTGGTGCTTGGGCTAATCACATTACTCATAGTAGACAAAGAGCAACGAAAGCAGCAGGTTCCATTTATAAGCTGTACCATCATAGATACCCAGGCACAATCAGACCTGCCCTGGAAGTCTTTAAAACAAAAATAATGTTGAAATTTGGGGCTGAAATTTGGGGGCACATCAATTTGGCCAAGATCGAAGCCTTCCAAGTTAAGCAGCTTCGCACCTTCCTGGGCCTTTCCAGAACAACACTGACGGCGGCAGTAAGGGCTGAACTAGGAATACTCCAGTAAAAGCTCAAATCTTAATGAGATAGTTTAATTACTGGTCAAAAGTAAACTCTATGGATCCCAGTAGACTTCCTCGCCTATGTCTAGAGGATCAAGTCCAGCATGACCAGAAGTCATTGTGGATGGCGGCTCTGAATAATGAGCTGGCTGGATTCGGTCTGCCTTTGCAATTTCTGGGTGTTTTGGGTCTGGGGGCAGGGCAAGTGCTCAAGCGACGCATTAGGGATGTCTATGCACAGCTGGACCTAGAGAGCATAGGTAGGTCTTCCGCCACAAGGTTTTTAGCTTCCCACAAAAGGAATATTCATTTAGAGCACTACCTAACTATTCCACTTCCTCTACCCTTAAGAAGAATATATACTAGGGCTAGGTTTGAACAACTCGGTACTATGGTGCAAACCGGGCACTACTGTAACATCCCAAGAAGTGAGAGATTCTGCGTCTAGGGAGAACAAACAGTGGAAGACATTGAACATTTCTTAATTGACTGTCCAGCATATATTGAACTGCGAGACAGATATTTACATCCAATATTATCCAACTGCAGGTCCCCCAACAGAAATGATATTCTGACATCCCCCTTGCAAAGGCAGGAAAGATCCAGCATAATCAGAGTAAGCCTTTTTATTCTGAAAGCTATTCTGGTGTGAGAGAATTGGCCATCTGCAAGGACGTTGCCCAGGGGACGCCTGGATATTTTGATGTTTTACCATCCTTGTAGAAGGCTTCTCTCATGTCCCCGCATGAGGAGCTGGAGCTGATAGAAGGAGCTCATCCGCGCTCTCCCCAGATTCGAACCTACGACCTGTCGGTCTTCAGTCCTGCCAGCACAGGGATTTAACCCACTGCGCCACCGGGGGCTCCTGAGGGGTAGCATGACTTTCCTGGATAGGAGCCCCCCCCCCCCCCAGGTGATGCAATTGGTTAAATCCTTGTGCCGGCAGGATGAAGACTGACAGGTCAGAGGTTCGAATCCGGGAAGAGCGTGGATGAGCTCTCTCTGTCAGCTCATCCACACAGACAGCCAATTCTCTCACACCAGAAGCAACTTGCAGTTTCTCAAGTCGCTCCTCACATGGGAAAAAAATTTCCCTGGATCTAGTCACTAGACTCCTATTGATGCAGGCCAAAATCCCATTGGCTTTTTTTGCTACCGCATGACAGTGTTTGCTCATGTTTAACTTGTTGTCCACGAGGACACCAACTACTCATAATTCTCTAGGTAGTTTAATTATGGCTCCCCAAAGAAGCATCAAAGGCTCAAGAAGAACTAGCAGCCCTTCCAAATCCCCTAGGAAAACCAGAGATGGAAGAAAGCAGTTGCGGAGAGGACCCTATGGACTGGATCCTCTTTTCCTGCAAGAGGCAGAGGGTGGGCCGGATCACTTTGGAAAGGAAGAGGACATGGGCCAAGGACCAGCAGGCCTCAGAAACAGCATTCAGAGGAAATGTGGGTGTTTCTTCTTCCTCCCCCCAAAAAACCCTCCCCACAGATAAAGCCAGATGAAGCCATTGAGAAAAACAGATCCCATCCCCGCCCTGCATTTTTGTTTTCTCTGCTAAATGCCTGCGCTGCAGGGTTAAGTAGCCGACAAATCAATTTGTTAAATCCCGGATTCTGTCTCTTTCTAATAAATCTGCTTTAGAATTGTCAGGGATGAAGGATGCTCCAGAGCCTCCGCCGAGGCCTCTCTCTGCCTGCACTGTGGGCCCGGCAACAAGGCAGCCCTATGGGGCTCTCCTTCCCCAGACCCCCATTGCCACCACTTCCTCTACTGCCACCTGAGTCCGAGGATATCCCAAACAGAAAGGGTCCCTCAGGCTGAAAGAGGAGCGGGGCCAGGAGGGTACTCACTGCCTGTGTTTGTTGGTGGGTGGGAGAGGGGCCCCCTCCTCCTCCTCCTCCTCCTCTTCATAGGCGATGGCGGAGGAGGCATCTGTGCAGAGAAAGGGAAGGAGGGATGGAAGGAAGGAAGGAAGGAAAGAAGGGGAGAGGGAGGGAGGGAGGGAGGGAGGGAAGGAGAGAGAGGCTCTGAGAGCTCAGGGCTTCGGAATCCAGCACCGGCTGTGATCGGAATCTTAAAGATGCCGCTGGCTCAGGCCCAGGACTGGCAGCAGGGAAGGAGAAGGGGCAGCGCTCAAAGGGGCAGAGCTGCAGCCCCACAGAAGAGAGCCCAGGGAGACCCCAGCCCCCAGAAGAGAAGGAGGCCTCATTCCCACAGACTGGATGCTTCCCTTTGGGAGAGGAGACCTGCAAGGGAGTCACACATCCCACTGACACCAATTGCCTTCCCTGTTGGAGCTGGGGTTCAGGTCAGGCTCATTTCCCTGGTTAAACGGCGGCCATTGTCATATTTGTCCCACTTTTGTTCCCATTGCATCAAAGAGCCTGGCAGGGAATGGCTTATCCAAGGGGGTCCATAGCAAGGCAGGGCTCTGGGTCTGGAGTCCTCAGAGAGGCCCTCTAAATACATAGGAACGTCCATTCAGCTCCCTCCTCTGCAGAAACCAGGAACACTCTGGCCTTCCTCCTCTTTCTGGCCTTCCTCCTTTCTCCAAACAGCACAAGAGGGTTAGTTCTGTGGCTGGACACTGAAACCAGGGATGGCCAGGGGAAGTGGGGAGGGGGAAGCAAAGCAGATGTGGGCCTGCCCTCCCAAGCTAGGAGAGGCCCAAGTGATAGCAAGAGGAGGCCAAGCGCTGCCTATGAGAGCAGGCAGGGCGCTGTCCAGGGTGCTGAAGGAACCCACTTCCCAGAAAGAAAGCTGCAGCCATAGGACTTGCTAGTCCTGGTAACAAGAGTGTGACAAATAGCGCATGCGTGTCTCTGTGTGCGCCTTGCACACTGCCTGGACTGAATTGACGGCAGCACAAAGCAGAGGGAAGCTCTGCTCCACCTGGCAAAGGAAATAGCCCCATTTTGGCCCTACAGGAAGTGAAGCGGAGACCTTGCCCTCTCTCTCTCATGTAATAATAATTAAGGTAAAAGGTAAAAGTTTTCCCCTGACATTAAGTCCAGTCGTGTCCGACTCTAGGGATTGGTGTTCATCTCCATTTCTAAGCCAAAGAGTCAGCATTGTCCACAGACACCTCCAAGGTCATATGGCCGGCATGACTACATGGAGTGCCGTTATCTTCACGTCAAAGTGGTATCTATTAATCTACTCACATTTGAATCTTTTCAAACTGCTAGACTGGCAGAAGCTGGGCCTAACAGCAGGAGCTCACCCCGTTCCCTGGTTTCAAACTGCTGACTTTTCGGTCAGCAAGATCAGCAGCCCTCAGGTGTAATCCACTGCACCACAAGGGGCTCCCATATAATAATAATAATATTAATAATAACAACAACAACAACAGCCAGCAGAGTGTCTGCTGTGGACTCATCTTGTTGTGTTTCTACTAATAATAATAATAGCTTTATTTATACCCCTCCACCATCTCCCAGAAGGCCTTGGGATGGCTTACAGAAGCACATACAAGTGCCATAACACATAAAGGCATAGGTAAAATTACATCAACATTAAACAATGACAACATCAGTTAAGATTAAAAAAAACACATTACAAAAGTAAATTTAAAAATCAATAAAACACAGAACAAATTATCATTAAAAATGCCCATGAAGAGGCGGGGGGGCCTTTTCCCTCTTGCCAAGGGGCACAGGCAATATTTCCCACCCCAAGGCTTTGGAAGGGGCCTTACTTGGGGTCATGAGTTTAGCAATGGGGACCAGAAAGCATCTTTTCCATGTTCAGAGCACAAGAGGCTCCCACTGCCTGAGAGGAAACCCACTGGAGCTGGAATGGGAATGTAGGAAAGATCAACAAAGGGTTGTTGCACCATGACTTGGACTCTGCAAATCAGTGAGAGCCATGGGTAAGAGCTTTAAATCAGATTGATACTTAGACTGCCCCCTTCACAGCCCTTGCAGACATCACATTCCTCATTCAGCTCAAGCCATGTTACTCTTCACTCTTCTCTGCAAACCAAGCATCCAAGAAAATATACCGTGTTCCCTTTACAACCAATCTACAGACTTTACAGTATCTAGCCACTACAACATTGAATCCACTGGCCACAACCCAACATAGGCCTTGGCACTCACAATCCCAGTGAAATCAATTAAAACTGCGTAGGCCCATATCTGTGCTGGATTGTGCCTACTGTACCCAAAATATGGTTTATTTTTATAACCTATTAGATCACAGCCACGAAAATGCAAACATGTCAACACTATGCACACCCACAGTCCAGTCCTATGTTTATCTCCTCCAGCACACTTCTTGGTGAGTTCACTGAGACTTATCCCAAGGAATCATGCAGGACTGCAGCCCCGATGCCCCAAAGCTCTGCCTTCTTAAACTGGCACCCTAAAAGGCACCTTTCCAAGCAATTTTCCACCCACCTCTGGTGAAGTCTCATCTCCACAGCCTAATGTTTGAATCTTCTGATGCTTGCATTTCTTCGAACATTAGCCAAAAATATCTATATTTCCCAATCCTCTGGAATCATAGCACCTGACATCTATGTCCTCTGAGCATGCTCAGTGTTTAAGGTCCTGCCAGGATTTCCAGTGCAGTCTCAACCGACAATGAAGCAAAGCCTTTCCTCCTTACCCCATTGACCCTTTGGTTACAGACCGTGTTCCTGAGCAAAGTATCTTCCAAAGTAAAGCATGCAAAAGTGCATTGCAAGTAAGGCATCTTCTGGAGCTTCTAGAGCAGCATTTCTCAATCTGGGGGCTGGGACCGCTGGGGAGGGGGTTGCAAGGGGGGTTTCAGAGGGGTCGCAAAAGACAATCAGAAAACATATATTTCTGATGGTCTGAGAAATCCCTTTGGCAGTGAAGGCTGAAGATCTCTCTGCCTGTTCTTCTCTACCTTTTTGGAAACAGATGGTGAATCCTCCCACCAAAAGACCTCCTCCTGCTGTGATTGTAGGTGAACTATATATCCCAGCAACTACAACTCCCAAATGTCAAGGTCTATTTTCCCCAAACTCCACCAGTGTTCACATTTAGGCATATTGAGTATCTGTGCCAAGTTTGGTCCAGATCCATCATTGTTTGAGTCCCCCATGACCAAAACTTCTGTGTGGGAAGTTTGGCTCAATTCTGTCGGTGGGGTTCAGAATTCTCCTTGATTGTAGGTGAACTATATATCCCAGCAACTACAACTCCCAAATGTTAAGGTCTATTTTCCCCAAACTCCACCAGTGTTCACATTTAGGCATATTGAGTATCTGTGCCAAGTTTGGTCCAGATCCATTATTGTTTGAGTCCACAGTGCTTTCTGGATGAAGGTGAACTACAACTCTAAAATTCAAGATCAATGCCCACCAAACCCTTACAGTATTTTTTTGTTGGTCATGGGACTTCTGTGCCCCAAGCTTGGTTCATTTTCATTGTTGGTGGAGTTCAGAATGCTCTTTGATTGTAGGTGAACTATATATCCTAGCAACTACAGCTCCCAAATGTCAAGGTCTATTTTCCCCAAACTCTACCAGTGTTCACATTTAGGTATATTGATTATCTGTGCCAAGTTTGGTCCAGATCCATTATTGTTTGAGTCCACAGTGCTCTCTGGATGAAGATGAACTACAACTCCAAAATTCAAGATCAATGCCCACCAAACCCTTACAGTATTTTTTTGTTGGTCATGGGACTTCTATGTCCCAAGCTTGGTTCATTTTCATTGTTGGTGGAGTTCAGAATGCTCTTTGATTGTAGGTGGACTATAAATCCCAGCAACTACATTCCTAAATGACAAAATCAATCCTCCCAACCCCAGCTGTATTCACATTTGGGCATATCAGGTATTTGTGCTAAATTTGGTCCTGTGAATAAAAATGCATCCTGCATATCAGATATTTACATTACAATTTGTAACAGTAGCAAAATTACAGTTATGATGTACAAATGAAAATAATGTTATGTTTGGGTGTCACCACAACACGAGGAACTGTATTAAAGGGCTGCGGCATTGAAAGGTTGAGAAACATTGTTCTAGAGTTCTTGCAGTTGCATTTGCCCTTCTGTACCAGTGAAGTGAAGCACCTTGTTTGGCCCCAATATTCCTGGATGAGATAGGAATGGAGGGTAAGAAGGAGCCTGCCTCTCAGGCCCCACGCTTTGACTTGGGATCGTTATGAAGTGAGAGCGAGGCGGAAAGAGAACAGAGAGATAGAGCTGGAATGAGAAGAGAAGGCGGGAGATCGAAGTGTGGTCCCCAAGGCCCTTGCTGGGGCGGTGTGCATCTCTGTGTGTTGATGCCAAGCACCTTCATGTGGGATGGGCAACTCCCACCTGCCTCCCCACAGCAGCCGAAGGTCTGGAGAAGTGGCAGAGGAGGGAGGGAGCGCTGGTCTGAAAACTTGCCCACACTGCAGTTTTGTGATCTCCAGATCTGCCTAACATCTCCCTTGTAGAGAGGTGCCATCTTCCTCTAGACTAGAGCCAGGGCTGTTTGCGAAGAGGCCACATCGGAAGTCAGACTCTTTGGGACAGGAATGGGAGGCATGTGGTTGTGTGGATGGCGCTGTCTATTGCCTCTGTTCTGGAGCATCAACCAGGAAAAAGTAGACCCTAGACCAGTGTTTCTCAACCTTCCTAATGCTGCGACCCCTTAATACGGTTCCTCATGTTGTAGTGATCCCCAACCATAACATTACTTTTGTTGCTACTTCATAACTGTTATTTTGCTACTATTATGAATTGTAATGTAAATATTTGATATGCAGGATGTATTTTCATTCACTGGACCAAATTTGGCACAAATATCCTATACGCCCAAATGTGGATACTGGTGGGGTTTGGGAGGGGGGATTGATTTTGTCATTTAGGAGTTGTAGTTGCTGGGATTTATAGTTCACCTACAATCAAAGAGCATTCTAAACTCCAACAGTGATGGAATTGAACCAAACTTGGCACACAGAATTCCCATGACCAAAGAAAATA